GGCGTTCCCCGGTCTGGCGGCGGCGTTCCCGGTCTGGCGGCAGTGTTCCCCTGGCCTGGCGGGCGGCGGCGTGCGTTCCCCCGGCTGGCAGCGGCGGTCCCCTGGTCTGGCGGGCGACGGCGTGCGTTCCCCTGGCGGGTGGCGGCGTCTATTTTGAACATTTCATCATTTGTCTGTTGTCCTACATCCATATCTTTTGCCTATTTTGTAACTGGACTAACAGTCTTTTTCTTGTGGAGTCCCAGAAGAACTTTTATTATGAGACTTTTTTCTGAAATATCATTGCCAAATGTTACAATTTCCCTCACCTCAAACCCACCCATCAGATTGTACAAACTGATGATTAATCACCTCCTCCTCCTGCACATCCTCATCCCTCCACTTCCATGTTCACCCACCTCCCTACATGTTCTACAATAATGGTTTTATACAATATTTGTCCTTGTGGGATAGAGTTAGTTCATTCAGCATACTGCTCTCCAATCCGTCCAAAGTTTGATAATAATTTACAAAATTATTACTCTTGCGTGATGCATAGTATTCCATTGTGTGAATGTGCCATAATTTCTCACTCCATTCGTTTGTTGGGCTGTGTCCATGTTCTTGTGATGGTGAAAAGTGCTGTTATGAACATTAGTATTCAAATCTCTGTGCCTCAGTTCTCATTTTCTCAGGCTATATTCCAAGTAGCGGAATAGCTGGGTCATATGGCAGTCATCAGAATAGAGCAAGGAGAGACGACATGGTTCAAAATCAAGAAGAGGGGTCTGTCAGGGATGTGTTCTGTCTCCATACCTTTTCAATCAGTACGCAGAACAGATCATCCGAGATGTTGGGCTGTACGAAGAGGAGTGTGGCATCAGGATTGGTGGAAGAGTCATAAACAACCTGCGCGATGCCGATGACACAACTCTGCTTGCTGAAACTGAAGAGGACCTGAAGTGCTTGTTGCTGAGGCTCAGGGACTGCAGCCTTCAATATGGACTGGGGCTCAATGTCAAGAAGACAAAGATTCTCACCACTGGGCCAATTGGCAGCATCAGGATGGATGGTGAAGAGATTGAGATTGTTTACAGTTTTGGTTTGCTTGGCTCCACAATCAACACTCTTGGTAACAGCAGCCAGGAAATCAGGAGACAAATTGCATTGGGAAAGTTGGCTGCGAGGGATCTCTCAAGAGTACTGAAGAGCAATGACCTCAGGCTGGAGACTAAGGTGCTCCTGATCAGGGCTATAGTCTTTGAAATTATGTGCTATGCATTAGAGAGTTGGACAGTGAATAGGGTTAATAGAAAGAGAATCGATGCCTTTGAGCTGTGGTGCTGGAGAAGAGTGTTGAATATACTATGTACTGCTAGGAGAACAAACAGGTTTGACCTGGAGAGGGTGAAGACAGAATGCTCCCTGGAGTCAAGGATTCTGAAGCTTTGTCTGACATACTTTGGGCATGTTGCAAAGAGGGACTGGTCCTTGGAGAGGGACATCATGTATGGCAGAATGGAGGGGAGGTGAAGGAGAGGAGGATCTTCGATGAGATGGATCAATTCTGTGACTGGAGCGGTGGGAATAAGTGCATTTGAGATGGCTAGGTTGGGACAGGATAGAAAAACGTTTAGAGCTCTTGTACATAGGGTTGCTATGAGTCGCAAACAACTCGATGGCACATAACAGTGACAACAACAATGGAATTTCTATGTTCAGCTCTTTGAGGAAGCACCAAATTGCCTTCGAGAATGGTTGCGCCATTTTATAATCCCACCAACAATGTATAAGAGTTCCTTTCTCACCACATCCTTTCCTTGTTAAACTTTGCCACTGTTATTGGAGTGAGATGGTACCTCATTGTGGTTTCCATTTGCATCTCTCTTATTGCCAGTGATTTGGAGCATTTCTTCATGTGTCTGTTAGTAATTCAGATATCTTTCTCTTTGACAATTCTTTCCATGTTTTTCTCCCCCATTTTGTAATTGGGTTATCAGTCTTTTTATTGTGGAGGCCAAGGAGTATTCTGTAAACTTTCATTATAACACTCTTATCTGAGATGGTATTGCCAAATGTTTGGTCCTAGTCTGTAGCTTTTCTTTTCACCCTTTTGGAAAATGTTTTTGATGCACACATGGATTAAATCTGTAGAAGGTCCCACACATCAATTTTATCCTTATTAGATAGTGCATTTCTGGTTGTATTTGGCAGTCTCTTTATACCTTGGATTAGTTCTTCTATGCTTTATCCTCGTTTGTCTCTTATGAATGTTATGGTTTTGGGCTTTACTCCCAGCTCTCTGATCTACCTTGAGTTGATTTCTGTGTTAGATGTGGATCCTGTTTCAGCTTTCTGCAGGTGGAAGTCCAGTTTTGCCAGCACCTTTTGTTGAAGAGGTTGTCATTTCCCTATTTGATAGCTTTAGTTTCCTTGTCTAATATCAGTTGACCATAGATAGCTGTGTCTATTTATGGATTTTCAATTCTGTTCCATTGGTCTATGTGCCGATCATTGTACCAGTACCGTGCTATTTTGGTTATTACAGTTTGTAGTAGATTTTCAGGTTAGGGAATGCTATGTCTCCCACCTAATTTTTGTTTCTCAGAAATGTTTTGCTTATTTGGGAGTCTCTTACCTCTCCAAATAAATTTGATAATTTACCCTTCAATCTACTTGAAAAATGAATTTGTTATCTGGATTGTGATTGCATTGAACATGTAGATTGCTTTTGGTGGGATTGTCATTTTCACTATATTGTGTCTTTCTATCCATTAACTACACAATTTTTTCCCATTTCTTTAGGTCTTTTATTGTGTCTTTCAGAAACAGAGAATTAATCTTTAGAATTTCCTATTTATTGGTGCCTTCCTTTCCTGTTTGTGCATACTATATTTGCCCACCTTATTAAATAATAGGCTTTAGGGCCTATTGGCAAAAAGCTGCTCTGCAATCCCAAAGGCATGCCGCTCAAGGCCACCAGCTGCTCTTTGGGAGAAGAATGGACAATATCTTCCTAAGTGTTTAACTGTCTCTGAAAATTCATCATGATAGTAGTTGTTTTGTTGTTGTTAGGGCTGTCAATTTGAGTACGACTCATAGCGACTTTATTAACATTAGATCTGTATCCTGTCCTACTCTGTAACTTCCTTACAATCTCTGACACACTTAAACCCATTGCTGCAGTCACTGTGTCAATCAATCTGATTGAGGGTCTTCCTCTCCTTCATTGTCCCTCCAACTTTCCAAACATGTTTTTCCTCTTCAAGGAATATTTTGCCAAGCCATATTTGTTTGCTCTTTTGGAAGTCCATGAGATAGTCAGTAGTCTTCTCCAACACAGTTCAAAGGGATCAATTCTTCTGTCATACTTATTAATTATCTAATTATCAGATAGTATGGATAACAACAAACTGTGGCTGACTTTGAGAAGAATGGGAATCCTAGAAAATTTGATCATGCTTAGACCAGGAGGCAGTTGTCAGAAAAAAGCAAGGAGACACTGCATGGTACAAAATTGGAAGGGTGTAATCCAGGGATGTACCCTGTCTCCATACCTTTCAATCTATATGCAGAACAGATCATTCAGGAGGCTGACCTGTATGAAGAGGAATGTGGCATCAGGATTAGAGGAAGACTCATCAACAACCTGCGTTATGCAGATGACCCAACCCTACTTGCTGGAACTGAGGAAGACTTGAAGCGCTTGCAGCAGAAGGTCATGGACTGCAGCCTTCAATATGGATTGAGGTTTAACATCAAGAAAACAAAGATTCTCACCACAAGGTCAATTGACAACATTATGCTAGATGGTGAAGAAACTGAGATTGTTAACAACTTTGGATTGCTTGACTCTCCCATCAATACTCTTGGTACTAGCAGCCAGAAAATCAAGAGACAAATTACATTAAGAAAGTCTGCTGTTAGGGACTTCTCAAGGGTCCTGAAGATCAATGACCCCATTTTGGAGAAGACAGTGCACCCGGTCCAGGCCATAGTCCTCGCAGATGCTTGATTTGTGTCAGAGAGCTGGACAATGACAGGAGATGATAGAAAAAAATTGATGCCTTTGAGCTGTGGTGCTGGAGAAGAGTGTTTAATATACCATGGACTGTCAGGGAACAAACAGGGTCATCCTAGAGAGGGTGAGACCAGGTTGCTTCTTGGAGGCAAGTATTCTGAGGATTCATGTGACATACTTCGAGCATGTGGCAAGGAGAAACTGGTTCTTAGAGAGGGACATCATGCTTGGAAGGGTGAATGTATAGAGAAAGAGAGGAAGACCATCAATAGGATGGACTGATTCAGTGACTAGGGTATTAAAAGTAGGTGTGTCAGAGACAGTGAAATTGGCACAGGATTGAGCCATTTTCAGGGCTATTGTACATGGTTGCTGAGTTGAAAACAACTCAACTGCACATAACAATAACAACAGCAGTTATCAGATGCTAACTAGTAACTAAAAAGATCATGGCCTGAATCAGGTACCCGTTAGACCTCAAACTAATATCATCGTTCTTCAATAATTTAGAGAGGTCCTTGAGTACAGACTTTCCTAGTGCAATATATCGTCTGATATCCTGATTTCTGGTACCTGACTGCTGGTATCCCAATTATGAACCCAAGTAAGAAGAAATAGACAGCTTCAATTCTTTCTCCATCTATCAGTCCAAGGATTTTTGTTTTCTTGATGCTAAGCTGCAATTCATGTTAAAGGCTTTAGTGCTGAACTGTTTGCTACAAGTCCTTCAGGACCTCCTCACTTTCAGCAAGTAAAGTTGTGTCATCCTCATAACAAAAGTGATTGATGAATCTTCCTCCAATTCTGATGCCACATTCTTCTTCATAGAGTCCAGCTTCGCAAACAATTTTATCAGCATCCAGATTAAATAGCCATGGAGAAAGGAATAGCCTTAGGAGGCTTCAATACTCCACTGACAATGAGAGACAAAACAACTAGAAAGAAACTCCACAAAGATTCAAAAGAACTAAACCATATAATTAAGCAGCTCGATCTTATAGACAAAAACTGGGTACTAAATCCACCCTAAAAAGTATTTTTCAGACCAAAATGCTACAAAAGTATAAATCAATAAAATAGGATACAGAGAAAAACACCATGAGCTCGAAAGCTAAATAACATCCTGCTTTATCACTACTGGGTATCATAAGAATTAAATCAAAGAATTTAAAAATGAAAAAAAAAGTTTGT